ACTATAGACTGAACTAGACTGCACTTTAGACTAGTCTATAGACTGGACTATAGACTGGACTATAGAGTAGACTATAGATTAGACTACAGATTAGACTATAGACTAGATCAAGATTTTAATCAAGTTATTTGCAGATTTTTCACCTGTAATCACAAAATAAACTTGTTTTTCAATTCAAACATGTTTTAAAGAAGTTACAACTAACTAAATTTATCTTTTCGACTAAAAACTTGATATTTTAAGGAAACAAATTTAACGACATGTTCTAATAACAAATACTTTCCTTTTGCTTACTTCTTTACAGGTTAATAAAATGCAACTGGATGAGTGGCCCAACAATCGTTTTCTCCTCAAATCAACTGATCCCAATCGTCCGGATTTAAATATGATTTGTTATGCCGCCACCATTGATTCGCACCGTGAATGGCTCGACACCATACGCAAACAGTTGCAATTTCAAAATGATTTTCTCAACGCCTTAATACGACCCATCGCCTATCAACAACAACAGCAACAACAACAAACAAAACACAATCATAGCGAATTGAAACATGAACACAGTCGAGAGCAGCTATAGCCAGATGATTAAAAACTAATTTATTGTGGTAAAAATTAAATTTATAGAAAATTTTTCACTACAGCAAACATTGTGTACTAATAATACATATTCCAGTGAAGTCAAAACAAAAATTAAAATCTTACAACTCTGGTATCCTAGAAACAAAAACAAAAAATTATAATAAAGAGAGACAAAATACAAAATTATTAAATTAACAAAACAAAAATACACATAACTTAACATAGCAAACATTATGTGTGGGCTCAGTTATTATACTCAGTTAATGTGTAACAATCTAAAAATTAAGAAACAAAAAATGATAACAAACAGACAAACAAACATACATATATTTTTAGCAAAAGTAAATTGTAATATACTATATATATAAAAAAAAATACAATACAAAAAACAAATAATTAAATATATATATAAATATAAATTTAGTTGATCAGATGGGAACGGCGGTTATATACAACAGCAGCAGCAGTAAGCAGCACAGCAAGCACATTTTGAAATATTTGTGTATATTTCAAAACAAAATCTGTTTGAATTTAAGTTCTTTTGTGTTTCATCAACGTGTGTATGTATCATCAGTGAAAAAAAAAAAACATCAACTCTTTATAAGATATTAATTATAACGTCATTATGATGGAAATGTAGAGAGAAAGAAAAAAGTATTATTTCTGCAATGCAAAACGAAATTAATTTTATTTTCTTGTTTTTTGTTTTATCTTTTAATTATTCCTTTAAAAAACAAACAAACGCCAGTCATAACAATAAGAAACGTTAGTTATTTTATTTCTTATTTTTACAAATACAATCAAACGAATTTTGTATGTTTAATAGCCGGGCAAAAAGTTACATGTTTTTTGATGTTTTGTCAAAATATTTTGGATTTGAAATTGGATTTTGGATTTTTAACCATTTGAAGTTTTTAAAGTGCAATTGGAAGAATAACAGACTTTACACAGAATTCCATTCCGATTAGAATTATTTAACTTTTTTAGAAATCGAAAATTTCTTTCGCAGTTTTTAAAGTGGAATTGAAATTTCTTTATAATTATAGGAATTAGCAAAACTTTTTAATCTAAAACATCACTAAAACCAAGATTCTTGTTTCAGTTACCAAAACAGAGTCGGATAACGTAATAAGTTTTTTGCTCTTTAAAGAGTCTGTCTAATAAACATACATATTTTTAATTTGTCTTAACTTTATAAGTTGCATTTGCATACAACAACAAAATGGAAAACTAAATGATCGACCAATTATTATTATTATTATTACTATTATTCAAAGCAATTTGTTTACAAACATTTTATTTATAGTTATAAATATACACATTTATTTTAATTTCATAAATATATATTTTTTAATTATAACTTTTTTAGTTTTTTTTTTAGCCAGTAATGTTGTCTAAGTGCTGTTTGAGTGATTCTAAGTAATAAGTATTTTTTCATATAAAAATTACATCTACCTTTATACAAACAAACAAACATAAAATCAAATAAATGTACATTTTTTTATTTATTATTATTATTTTTAAAAAAAAAAAAATTTCAATAATTATACTTTTAATTTTTATATAAACATACTTTCATACTCATATTAAAAACAAAATAAAACGAAAAATAATTAAAATTCTTACAATTAAATGTAATAAAACGTATTGAAAAACAATTCGCAGAAAATAAGATTAAATAGTGTTTAAACTTAAAAAAAACACAATAAATATGTTAAAAACTGAATAAAAAAAAAATAAACATTTAAAGAAAAAAATCATTCATCCAAAAAAAAAAAAAACATTTTTATTTAATTTTGTCAAACGTTTTTCTTTTTTCAGAAACACTTGCTTATAAATACTTATTTAGTTACAACTTGACAGCTTTCTTAAACAAAAGCATTTTATGATTTCTTTTGTTTTTAACCACACTTAGGCAAAAAATGTAAATAATATGTTGTGATTTATAAAATCTAATAATAAGTTTTATTATGATTTTAATTTTTCTTTTTTAAATTTAAATTTATGTTATTAATGTCTCTGTCCCCCTTAAAAAAGGCAGACAATTTTACTATATTCGCAACAAAATTCCATAAACAGATATTTACGAGAAACAAACAAAAACAACAAAAAATTAAATTGATATTAAACCTACAAACTAATTAAACTGTATAATTAAATTAATAATAAAAAAAACTATAATATAATTGTGACATAAAAACATACATATTTTTCTGAGACGTACTAAATAAATAAAATTAATAAACAAAATAATATTGCATAAATATAAATATTTTTCATACAAATTCCAGCTAAACTAAAACAAAACAAATCAACAACCACAACCAACTCTCCTTAATACCACAATCTTCAAGGTTTTAAATAAATATCAGCAATATTTATTTTATTTCTTTTTAAGGTATTAGTAAAACAGTAAAAGAATAAAAAACAAAAAAAAGTAACTTTGTTCAATTTCAATTCCCAAAATACATAATAAATTTAAATGTTTTATTACAGCACAATTTATCGTTTCAATTTTTCAAAAATTCACTACTATTGCACTTTTTTCAATAGTTTTTGACATCGAAAAATATCGGAAAATATTTAGAACTTTTAGAGCGGGTTTTTGAGATGATAATCAAATGCCAATTAATAATCAGATTAGTTAATCTAAAAATAAATTAAATATTATGTTAATCCCCTTTGATGTTTTTGAGTTCAAGATTAAACTTCGCAGTGTTGCCATATAAAACAACAAAAAACTTCACTGTTTGTTATCAAAACAATGCATAATTTATAAAAAAGAAGAAGACAATTGTAAATTTAATATGAAAATTAATGAAAACTTAAATTAAAAACATAAAAATGTATTTTGAAGTGTCCATAATTTATACTAATCAAAAAAATAGAACATTTTAATGTTTATATTTATAAAAATTGTATTAATTTTTTTGCATCAGCTGTTTAGACTTTTGCATTTCGTGCTTAAGATTAAACCACCTCCATTGGGCGCTTAAACTTGCAAACAAAATTAACTAATTGAGTACTCAAAAACATCTTTCGAGGATAAATTTTAATTTAATCGCTAATCTTTCACCTAAAGATTGGCCCTTAGAAGTAATTTATAAACTAGCCAAAAACCCAGTTGATGTACTAGTCTATATGTTAGTCAATATACTAGTTAATAGGCTTTTTCATAGACTAGATATAAATCAGTCCGTGGAGTAAACAAGTAAACTATTTCAAGGACTAATCAATAGAAAATAATCCGAAAAATAACTCTACTCTTAATCCTAAATAATTTTACATCAGAGCATATGATTAGGGGGCCTGTTCGGTAATGCATCACTGTATTGTATCTGATTATTAGTCTGCGGTACTCATGCAAATCGGTTGAGCGTGTTTCGACGTTTTTTGTGCATTATATATTTCTGCGCATCTGATGCGCAGTACGCTCGGATGCAGCGCAGTAATGCATTTCCAAAAAAGCCCAAGGTACTGATAACTTTGAAATCAACGTTGCAATACTTGCATTTTTAACATAATTCCGTAATTTACTATAATTCCGCTTTGAAATTTAAAACGTTCCTCAGAAAAGTAAAAAAAAAAAAACATATTTACTTTTTCTTTGTTAGCACAGATTTCAATCCAAATTTAAAAAATAACCTAACTTTCTTTTAGAAAGTGTTTATTCTTTAATAAGTCGATTTAACAGAAAAATTTTGTGAATTTGAATAACCTCAGTATACGTATCGATTTCGCCTTTTTTACGAACAAATTTTCAAAGGTCGATATCTTCGCAAATAGAATGAAAACTAGAATATTATTGAATTTATAGTTGTTTAAAATTTTAGGTTATAATATCCAATGAAGCAATAAGATATAGCATATATTAGACCCTTATTTTGAAGATAACAGATGTGATTTTCCGACATTTATATATATGTTGTATATATTATTCCTATTTACCATTAATAAATAAGTAAAACTGTTGAAAACCCGTTAATATTACAAAACAAAGAAATCTATTCTGGCAACTCTGTCATCAAGGCTACAAAAATACACTACATTTTTTTGCAGCTCTGTTTGATTTGTCATTTTCTTGCAGTAGCAGCGCAAACAAATTTGTATGATGCATCAAAATAAAAACAAAATTCATGGTATATGACGATTCGTAACGTATAATAAACCGTTAAAGGTCGAAACGATGGAGAATTACAAATTAATAACTTTTCCCTTTAATTTATTACAAAACTGTTTGCAATTTAAAAAATACTTTGAAAAAAATTTTTTAAAATTTGAAAATCCAAATATATGTTCTTACATATGTATGTATGCCTGTATATGCATTTCCTCTGACCATCATTCTGGCAACGCTATCATAGTCAAAGCAAACCATAGAGTAATCGTAAATAATAAAAGCAAACAAAAACACACTCCCCAATTTTTGCAACTCTGTTGAATGACGGTGAATAAAAAATAAAAAATATCTTGCAATTCTACATAAGAAAATACAAAAAAGCCGATAAAGCTAACAAAAACTATTAATAATTTTCAATATTATTAAATTATAAATAAATTATCAACCATCACGCATAAATGGATGCCTTATGCAAGCATTTATCAAAAATTCGAGTGCCTTGTGACAATCAGGCCATCTACAAGGATGAGTGTGTGTACTCGTACGACAATCCGGAATCGCCCACCGGTCTATATGTAAGTTTGACAAGTTTTCTGGGTTTTGGCGAGGAATACGTTCAAAAGTATGCCGAAAAAACTGGTAATTGCGTTTTCCTGCATATATATCGCGAAAAACATCTCAAGGAAGATGCAGCAAAAGGCGAGGATGAGACCGGGCCTGAGCGTAAGATAACACGTCTTGCTATTGGTGTCGAGGGTGGTTATAACGACAAGGACACCAAGAATTATGAATATAAAGATAACTATAGTATTGTGGTTATGCCGGATATTCAAAATAAATTGCCTTTTCCCAACAATGATTTCCCCTTAATAATCACACAATCGGTGGAGAGTATTTTGGCCCAGGATTCTGCTATTTCCAAACTGGAGAAGCAAACGTTAACAGGTACTAATTGGATTAAAAGTTGTCTAAGCTTTTTGTTTACATATATTTTTATATTTTGCTATAGGCACTTGGGATGGTGAAGTGCGTCAGGTTTCCAAATTTTCTGAAAATCTGCAGCAATTAAACAATGGCAAGAAAATTCCTCCCTCCGGTTGGAAATGCGAAAAATGTGATCTTACTAATAATTTGTGGTTGAATTTAACTGACGGCTCCATTTTGTGCGGCAGAAAATTTTTCGATGGTTCTGGTGGCAATGACCATGCCGTGGAGCATTATAGAGAATTCAATTATCCCTTAGCTGTTAAACTTGGCACAATTACAGCCGATGGTAAATCTGATGTATTTTCTTATCCTGAAGATGATATGGTTATCGATTCGAAACTGGAAGATCATTTAGCACATTTTGGCATAAACATGGCAGCTATGAAAAAAAGTGAAAAATCAATGGTAGAACTGGAGCTGGAAATCAATCAACGTATAGGCGAATGGTCTTTGCTGACAGAAAGCGAAAGTGAGTTGCAGCCCATGTCGGGGCCTGGTTATACCGGTATGCGCAACTTGGGAAATTCTTGTTATATAAACAGTGTCATGCAAGTGCTTTTCACCTTGCCCGATTTTATAAGCCGCTTTGTGGGTAAAGGAGCCGAGGTTTACTTCAATCAGTTTCCCGCTGATCCGGCCAATGACTTTAATATACAGATGTCGAAATTGGGTAATGGTTTGTGGTCGGGCAAGTATAGCAGCATTACTGAGAATAGCTTAGACACTACCGGCATATCGCCAGCAATGTTTAAGAATATTATTGGTAAAAATCATCCAGATTTTGGCACAAAGCAACAGCAGGATGCTTATGATTTCTATTTGCATTTGCTTAATTTATTGGAGCGCAATTCACGCAACCAACCTAACAATCCCGTAGATGCTTTAACATTTAGCATAGAAGATCGCGTTGAGTGCATGGCAAGTAAAAAGGTTAAATACACACGTCGTGAAGAATTCTGCCTGCCTTTGGCCATACCTTTGGAGAAGGCCACAAATCTGGATGAAGTTAAAGAATATTTGGAGAAAAAGGCAAATTGTCCGGCTGGAGCTAAAAATGACAAAGACGTTGTACGTCACAAGGTGCCGTTGCAAGCTTGTTTGGAACGCTTCTTTGCTGCAGAAGTCATTGATCAATTTTATTCGTCAGCTATAAAGGGTACCACAACTGCCAAGAAAACAGCCCGTCTGGTCAACATGCCCGATTATTTAATGATGCATTTGCGTAAATTCACCCTAGGCGATGATTGGGTGCCCAAAAAACTTGATGTAGAAGTAAAAATGCCAGACGAATTGGACTTGTCTAACTGGCGTGCCAGCGGCAAACAAGCACATGAAGAGGAATTACCAGAGACTGATACAGCCCCAAAATTTGTTTTTGATGAAAATATGGTTTCATCGCTAATGCAAATGGGATTTCCCCAGGAGGCTTGCAAAAGAGCAGTATTCCACACTAAAAATGGCGGTTTGGATATAGCTTCAAACTGGCTGATGGAGCATATTGGGGATGCCGATTTTTCCGATCCATTTGTAATACCTAATGAGACCGCTTCAGCTGAAAGCGCTGCTGCATTTGTGCCCGATGCAGATAGTCTTTTCATACTCATGAGCATGGGCTTTGATGAACGACAAGCCACAAAAGCCCTCAAAGCAACTGACGGTAACGTTGAACGCGCTGCGGACTGGATATTTTCTCATGCTGATGACATGGATGTTACCGAATCTGCTCCGGCTGGCACTGAATCGAATTCATCAAGCTCATCTTCGCAGACAAAAAAGAATGGTCGTGATGGTAGCGGTAAATATAAGTTGGTGGCATTTATCTCTCACATGGGTACATCCGCACAGGTTGGTCACTATGTGTGTCACATAAAGAAGGATGGCCAGTGGGTAATTTTCAATGACAGCAAAGTGGCTTTATCTCAGAATCCACCCAAAGATTTGGGTTATCTCTACCTATACAAGCGCGAAGAGTGAATAACAAAAAAACAACTCGAGTGTTCGATACACTAGTCCTCCCCCTTTCATAAAAATTATGCTTTTTTTATTCGTAATTGTATAAATAAAGTGAATTTATTAATAAACATCCAGTTTTTACTTTTTAACTGATTTTAAATGATGGCTTAGGGGTTTAAACATAATCGACTATAATGAATATAAAACAATGCAGGACCACTTCCCTCAACCCAGAAATATTCATAATTGAACTATTTTCCCATTAGCAGCGGTAGTTCTTGAGTTTATCGAACACGAACAAACAATAATCTTTTATTAATATAAGAAGTTATTTGACTTTGAAGTCAACTTAATTCATAATAAACATTTTATTAGTATTAATCTTTGTTATTATTCATTGAAAATTCTTATTATATTAAAAAAATTACAACAATGGAATTTATACGCTATCACAACAACTTTTGTGAATTTACCAACTTTTTAACTTTTTACTTCATTTTAAATCTTCAGGAGTAGTATTTCTATATTATTCCTCTTTCTTTGGGGTACTAGTTGTGCCACGATTTTGTGTTTTACTTATAATATCCTTTACTATAGTGTCCAATTTTTGTGTAAATGCTTCAAAAGAGAATTTCTGCTGAACACGTTTGTGACCCATAACACCCATACGTTCGCGCAAAGCATCATCTTTAAATATTTTACCCATAGCGGTAGCAAAGTTTTCAACTCCTGGTTCGCATAGATAACCAGTCAAATTGTTTACTATGGTTTCAGTTGGTCCTCCAGAATTAAGAGCAATAACTGGTTTTGACATGTACATGCCTTCCAAAGGCACAATACCAAAATGTTCGTTAGCTGGTGTGTAGAGAAGGCAATTTGCTTTCTCTAGCAGCATAAACTTCTGTTCGTCCGAGGGGGATTGTAGCATTTTTACTGTCTCATTTATGTTCATCTCCTCAATTAAGCCTTCCAACTCATTATAATGTTCTACATTTTCTACTACCCGCTTATCGTAGCCTCCAGCTATTACTAGGCGGCAGCGTTTCCAATCATTTGGGTTTAATATCTTTTCCAGTTGGCAGAAAGCTTTAACAGCTAAAGGATGATTTTTCTTACGTTCATATCGATTAATATCAAGAAAAATAAAAGCATTACGTGGAAAATCCACGCCCTGTAAAGCATACGTGTCTTCTTTGCTTGCGGCATGCTTGACATGCATATCATCGAAATATTTGGTGTTAATTGAAGGATACAACACTTCCGGTACTGTCTTCAAACGTCTAAATGTCTCATGGAAAACCCTTAAGGTAAACTTAGAATTTACCAAGGTGCCATCGGCCATACCTATTGTTATCTCCTCCAAGTAGTTTATGGGCGCTCGGTATAAAGACTTAAGATAACCACCCTCAGTGCTCAACAATTGATCGGGAAAATGGCAATAAAATAAGATTTTTGGTCTACATTTAGCCAACTTTAATATGGGTATGCCTATGGAGATTTGATCACAAAATATAACATCCAATTGTTCATGACGCGACAGGAAGAACGAAGCAAAGAAGGCAGCATACAACATTCGAAAATAGGCACAGAAGGCATAAAAACGACCAAATATCTTTCTGGGCAACCAATCGCCAACAACTTTCACTTTCAACGTACCATCTCTGGTCTCTTCAAAGCAATGATTAGGATCATGATGATTCGTTAAAAAACTGACTTCATGACCACATCCTTTTAAAGCTAATGCAGCGTCAACCACCAGACGCTCGGCTCCACCTATTCCCAAGTCGGGATGTAAAAATAACACTCGCACCATGGTGATTGAATCATAAACACGGTGGTAAAGCACAATAAAAATAAATGCACCCGGAATGCACTTATCAAAGAAGAAAAAATAATAAAAAATAAATTTATGACAACACAAGTGCTTCTTCTTCATAAAAATGTCAATTCAGCTAAAATTGATTTACCGGCTTATTTTGGAGACTTTTAACGTTTGTAGAGTAACAGCTTAATCAGTTTACAATTGTGACCGCTGGCGACAAAATGCATTTTTATGTTTAAAACCAGCTAAGTATGTATGGAGTTCATTGAGATTTTCGAAAATTTACTTTATTACATGGGAACCATGACTTATGTTTGTTTAATTGATTTTTGGAAGTGACCTTATGCCATATAATCTTATATTTCAGATGCCATGGTAATTTTAATGGAAAGTCAACACAAAATTCCCAAAAAGTTTATATTTTCTATGAGTGAGTACTCAATAATAAAATTAATTCGAAAAATTTACAGCAAAATTAATTCCCACATTATTTTGAAAATGAGAGTTGGCAGCTCTAAAACTTAAAAACAAGCCCTGGCAATCCTAATATGCTTCATGAAAATATTTTTTTTTTTCATACTACAACTCTCTGGTCTAGCTGCACGTGTTTTTTTTGATGCTATTAGAATTATTATTGTTTTAAAGTGAAATAAAAATGGTAAAAGTACAGAAACCGAATCCTAAAACCCTGAAAAAGGATGTTCCAGAAAAAACAAAAAATATCCAGAAGAAAAAGGCAACAGTAAATCCCGCCAAGGAAAAAGTTAAAGTGATCGGTAAAGCATTGGAAAATGTGGCTCAAAAAAACAAAGCTGCAAAAGCGCCACAACCAAAAGGTAAAGTGATCAGCAAAGCATTGGAAAATGTGGCTCAAAAAAACAAAGCTGCAAAAGCGCCACAACCAAAGGAAGATGTTCTAAATAAAAATACCAAGAAAGTGCCACAAAAGCAAGAAAAGCCTGCCCAAAAGAAAAAGCCAGTAGTCGTAGGTAAAGTTGAAAATAAAACACAAAAAGATGAGGGCGAAATTAAAAAGAATCAAAAGAAACCACAAAAAAAGAAAGTGGAAGCAGACAAGAAGACCACATCGACGTCACCCCTTTTTGAACCGTCTGATTTCAATGAGCAACTGTTCGAACAAATTGTGAGTTTGGATAACATTAAGAAAATAACAAAGGCCTTAAAAACTTTGGTAGAAAAAGAAGTTTCGGAAAAGAAAACTTCCATTTTTAGTGACTTCAAATATTTGTTGAATGTTGGCAGTTATAAAATTCCCAATTGTCCTAAACGTATGGTGAAATTGTAAGTACATACATACATATTTAAAATTTTTTAATTAATAGCAAAATATAATCAGCAAATAAATTGTTTACAGAAATGTTAAGCATTCATTGGTGGACACGAAATTGGATGATGTGGTTATCATTGTACCCGATTTGCAAAGAGGCGCCAAAGTTGACTACGAGCCCACCGTTCAACACTATGAGGATTTATTCCGCGAAAATGGTGTGGATAACATTAAAGTAGTGCCATTTAATCAGTTGCGTCAAGAAGTCACAACTTTTGAAGCTAAAAGGAAATTTGCCAACACCTATGATTATTTCCTTTGTGATGGTCGTATAGTTAGTCATGTTGTAGGATTTTGCGGCAGTAAATTCCAAAAGCCACGCACAACATTTCATGCAGTACGTTTGGACAATCCTAAAACTATTAAGGCTGACATAGAACATGCACTTAAACGCACCGCCTACAAACAACTTCACAAGGGTGATCTCGCTTCCATACCCGTGGGTAATCACCGTTTTACCGTTAATCAAGTAGCCGAAAATGTCGAAACTGTTATTGGGCAATTGAAAACAATATTTGCTGGTGGTTATCCTAATATACGTAATATTTTCTTGAAAATTGACATTAAAGGAACATCTGCTTTGCCAATTTATGCCAATCTGATGAGTGCACCACAAGAAACTCCCAATATAATTGGTCCACGCGAACAGAAAATGCTTAAATTGAAGAGACAAGCCAACGAAATATTATCCAAATTTAGCATGAGCAAAACGGGAGAATTTGTTAAGCTTGACAAAAAACAAGTAGAACGTAAACGGCAGTTACGTGAAGCTAAAGCTGTTTTATTATCTAAAGAAAAAGAAGCTGAGAAGGAAAATGAAGACAGTGAGTTGACGACACCACCAGCTGCCAAGAAAGTTAAAAAAGCTAAACAAGTCGAAGTGGAAGTAAGTAAATCTGAAGATGAAAATGAAGAAGAGGACGTGGAAGATGATGATGATGAAGAAGATGATGATGAAGAAGATGATGAAGAAGATGATGATGATGATGAAGAAGATGATGAAGAGGATGATGATGCTGAAGAAGATGAGGAGGAGGATGATGATGAGGAGGAGGATAGTGATGAAGAATAAGAATAACAATTAATACATATATATTTTATGTACGTTAAGTTTTGTATATACATTTTTCTTTATACATACATACATATTAAAATTATAAACAAATTAACAAAATTCTTTTATTTAACTTGTTAGTTTTTTATTACCCTCCCCATCAGAGGCATGTAAAATTCAGTACCTAAGTTCTTTTTGTAATCGAAAAATACCGCAAAACCCCCACGATAATTTCGGTACTTTATCTTCTTTCGAAACTTTTGATAAACAGTCCAGTTTAGTCTAGTCTTAGTCCAGTCTGTAGTAGGCTTTAGATTAGTCTATAGACTAATATATAGTCTATAGAATAATCTACAGTCTAGTCTATAATCTAGTCCATTGTCTGGTCTAGAGTTAAGTCTATAGTCTAGTCTATTCTATTTTTTAGTCTATAGTCTGGTCAATAGTCTAGTTTTTTTATAGCCTATTCTATAGTCTAGTCTAAGGTCCTGTCTATTCTATAGCCTAGTCTATAGAATATTCTGCAGTCTAGTCTTTAGTGTAGTTTATAGTCAATCTAAAGTCTAGCGAAAATTAGTTTAGTACTTTAAAACCTATGTAAATCTATATAAAATTTAAATTTTCCATGCCTGCTCCCCACTATAGTGCTGTTGGATTTATAACGTGTCTTGTCTATAGTGTAGTCTATAGTAAATCTATTTATAATCTAGCGAAAAATAAGTTTAGTACTTAAAAACCTGTATAAATTGTATAACTCCCCACTATAGTAATCTTAGGTTTAAAAGGTGTAACCATTTAAAGATTTTTTTCCATTTCTATTCTTTTGGGAATTGGTTCTGACCGCTTTTCCACAAAATTTTTCCATTAAAAGAATAACATAACTGGCCCAATAGCGGTCTTTGGGCCGCTTGAATTAATTCCACAAGAATTTACAAGTACAATTGAATGGTAATAATTAACAATTCAATTCTTTCAAATGTCTGTGCCAATTATTTTCAAAAATACATTGGTAATCAGAAATCCTTCTATCTCGTTTTTTCGAAAAAGAAAGAATTCTAAATTGAACATAAAATTTGAATTTCAACCACAAATACACTTTGAATATTACAATTTATATTTTAGTTTGATTTGCAAATTATAAACGACCTACCGAATAAAAGCATTTGGTAATAGAAATTGCAACTATGCCTAAATGTTCTGATAAACTACTACGAAATTAAACAACCCAGCACTTTGTTCTCACAACTATTTTTTGTGAGGTTTTGTGTGATTAAGAAAAAAATAAATAAAAAAGTAAAATAATGTAAAAAACCCCTAAGAAATTTATAAAAATTCAATAATTTCGATTCACAGAAAATCTCCAAATTATCCCATTTATAAATTAAATAAAAGTTAAACACAAAACTTTTGCAACAGATCGAAACCGACCAACAGACACACGGAATAAATGGAGCAGACTATACAACAAATAACCTGTGAACAGTTTTGGAATATTGGGAACTTTATTAAATGTAAATTTTAGTGTGTAAATAATAGTTGAAAACAATAAAATTATTTAAATTTATACAACCCTAAGTGTGAGTCTGTTTGGGTATAAATAATTAGTGCTTGTGTTACTTGAGTTCTTCAACAATTGTACCCTTATGTTTATGTATCTTTAAAAAAATCTTAGTGTTAAGACTTTACATACATTTTTTGCTTGGCCTCAAAAGGCTATTTAACGAACAAACTTATCCTCCAAAAAGTAAGCAGCTAATGTAAAAGGATGCCAAAGATATATATGAAAAAACCATTGACAAATATGGTCATTCGAAATAGAAATACCATCAAAGATGTTGTTATCACGGTGAGTTTTTAATTTTATCATTTATGCTTTTGTTTGGATTTTATCTAATAGAGAGTCATACATGTACGATATGTCTAACAAATCGTTTAATCACTTTATTCTTATCAGTGTGACTAGTTTAATTTAATTTTTTTTTATTACGCATCATCACGTTGTGGTTGGTAATCGATGTGTATCAAGATATTTTGTAATATACACTTGGGGCTTATCTTAAAACAATGAAATTATTAATAATATCATTAAAATTAGTAAAATAAAGGAATTGACCATAAAACTGTTAGATAAATAAAGATATCTTTTTATCTTTAACTTATTTAAAAGATTAGATTTGTTAAATTTATTAATTTATGCTGTCGTACTTATTAGGATATAGGTATGTAGCTAGAAGTTATACGCTTTTTAGAATAAAATTAATAACTTGAAACAGACAGACTTGTTATTGTATTAAGGCCACGTATTAATTTTGTTTTAATATATTTTTAAGTTAAAATTTATTTAACTTTACATAGTAAGTACTAATGCAAAGCTTAACAAACTTTTGTCGTGTCTTCTAATAGCTTTTTAAATAACTACAAATAGTTTCGATGATAGACAATTTTATTCTTTCAATTTAAACTATTTAAAATTAGATAAAATCGGAGCCTATTAGGTTTATGGATTTCATAAAAGTAAGAACATCAAACCGATGATCTCATCCTTTATTAACGCCCTTTGCTTATGTATTATTATACATAGTTAGAAAATGTAAGTGATCATAGGAACAAAATGTACAGTTATAGCAACAACTATAAAAATGTCATATGCAGGTCAGGTTTCTTTTCAGTTCTAGTTCTTAACATCAAATTATACTGTTCTAAAGGCCTGAGCTACGCTAATCAGGCCTCATGTTTACGAGATGTTATTGTCCTCTAGTTTTATAAAAACTCTTTTTGATAATATTTAAGATATTATAACAGCATAAAAATACCTATATTTATAATGTTTGTTTTGCTATATGAAAACTCAATCTGTCTACTTTAAAATAAAGATTTAACTAATTCGAATAACTTTTAAACAAATCCTGGAACTTAAAAAGTGATTTAGTTAATAACTATTCGTTCGAGTCAAAAAATAAAAACTTTTCAATGGCGCATAATTTTTGTAACCTTGTTCAAAATTTACTAAAACTTTCTAATAAGAATTTGATGTTTATAAATTAAAATCAGTTGAAAATGTACAAACTGCCCGTTACCGTAAAGTTAAAAATTTGAATTAATAAATAAATAATAAAAAAAAATTTGAATTAATAAATAAAAAAATAAAAAAAAAACAATGTAACAACAAATAAAAACCAAATTCGATTATTTGATTGATAATGATGAATAACTTTAAAAGCTCCAACCTTAACAATGGAAAGAATTCGTCATTCTGTGTTAACACCAATGAAAATATAAAAATATAAATTGGTTATATGTAATTGGAAGTTTTATTTAATGGAATATTCTAGGATGGTAACTTTTTACGGGGTGCAACAGATACAAACTGATCTTTAACACATGAAGATTTCCGTTCATTCGTCCGTTTCCCGTTGAAAATACGATAAGGTCCAACCCACAGATAGGTGCTGTAGTTTCTGAATTATATTACGATATATATATAGATAGATAGATAGATAGATAGATAGACAGATAGATAGATAGATAGATAGATAGATAGATAGATAGATAGATAGATAGATAGATAGATAGATAGATAGATAGATAGATAGATAGATAGATAGATAGATAGATAGATAGATAGATAGATAGATAGATAGATAGATAGATAGATAGATAGATAGATAGATAGATAGATAGATAGATAGATAGATAGATAGATAGATAGATAGATAGATAGATAGATAGATAGATAGATAGATAGATAGATAGATAGATAGATAGATAGATAGATAGATAGATAGATAGATAGATAGATAGATAGATAGATAGATAGATAGATAGATAGATAGAAGATAGATAGATAGATAGATAGATAGATAGATAGATAGATAGATAGATAGATAGATAGATAGATAGATAGATAGAAAGATAGGTAGATAGATAGATAGATAGATAGATAGATAGATAGATAGATAGATAGATAGATAGATAGACCAACAAATTTTTATCACGGAAACCAATGTGTACTTTTATAAAGGGTTTAACTTCGCTGAATTCAAGTTTTCCTGAAGCTAAAAATAAAACCAACGTTACAATAGTGCGAATGCACCTTTATGTATAAAATCCGTTGTGTCAGCTGAAAGTCAAATTTTTTTAACTTGTTTTGTATATTTTTCTACTTTGAGATGTCTCTCGTGTAGGTATCTCTTTGAGTTTCAAAATTCAATTCGGTTCAAAATTAGTTACACATTTGGAATTAAACTATATTCATAAACTAAAAAAACAAAACAATTTTCTAAGAAAAAGAAAAAATCTGGTAAAAATATAAATAAATAAAAACACAAATTGCAAAGTTATACTCATTTTGTTTAAGAGTAAATACAATGACAATAAATTTTCCAACCCTGTTTTGCGGAAAGAGCTTTTCTAACATTATTATGATATGAGATTGTTTGTACAATTTAAGAGAACAATATTCACAGAAATACACGCATGTTGAAATATTCTCAATTGTAAATAATCAATTTGTGTGTTGTGCTTTTAATAAACAAAATTAGGTGTATTTATGCAACCATTTCGGTTATTAGGTATGTGGGCCATGGACCATAATAAGATAAAAACAAAAAATAATTTATAAAAATTTAAATTTATAAGAATTATGATTTATTTTCATTATTAAACTAGAAATAGATAACATTTTAGATAATACTAGGTAAACAATAATTACATGTGAGATGAACAAAGTAAAACAGTAGCATTTTAGAAAAACAAAAAACTAAAATATGTAGCAATGCGTGGTTTCATTTATTTACAACTAATAAGTATTAGAACTAAATTCTAATCTTTGTTATGTTATCAAAAAGTCAAATAAAGCTTTCTGGCGTTTACTCTCAAAAGCTTAAATGAACATAATATATCTTTTTTTTTGCTTCTGTTTCTGTTGAAAAGTGAAAAGTAAGGTGAACACAAAAATATTTTCCCAAACTTTCATCAGATGAAAATGAAAGATGTACGCGTACTATTATATTAAAACGAACTCGAGTAAAAATATTTTTTTGTAATTTTTTTTTTAGTTTATTTTTACAATGAAAATACATAATAATAACGAAAAATCGTTGGTGTTTATACTAAATAAAAAGAAAAATATGCACAAATCATGTTAAATATTTGTTTAAACAGATTATTTAGAAAAAAGTGTTAATTTAAACAAAATGTTAAAACGTTTTTGTAAGTTTTGTAACAACAATAACGTTTAAGAGATAAAAATTAAAAGAAAATAATGAATGAATGAACGAGTAAAGTCACAGTGACCAGAAAGTGATGATATAATTTATTCAATTAAAAGAAAATGTTTTTTTTTTGCAGCAGACTGTGTTTTTTGTAATATATGCACATTTTAAAAGAAAAAAAATAATAAACAATTTTATTAAAATTTACTCTGCCAATATAAGCAAAATGAAAATTTATAAAAAAAAGTATTGTATTAAATTGATATTTACAAAAGAAAAAAAAGTAGTATGTACTGCTAAGGACAATAAAAACACAAACAAAGACACTACTTTCCTGTGCTAATGTTACATTTTCGTTTTATTTAAGGACAAGTGTACTTGCTTTCGTACCGTCAACTTATAAACGAATAAGTATTTCTGCGAAAAGCTTCAATATGTGAAAGTGTTGGTTGTGAAAAACATACACTAGGATATTTTTTTCATTCTTACTTTTTCTTCAAAACACTTTCTCTATCGTTAGAAACTTAAAGCATAAAACTAAAACTAATAAATTTAAGAATTTAATAAAGAAAATCTAAGGTTTTAGTTGGCTTTAAATTAGGCCCATTTACCTCAGTGTTGTATTGAGTAGATTTTTAGTTTAAAACTTCAATATTGTTTATCAAAATACCAAACAAATAACTTTACCGATAAATGTCCTTGAAAATTCAATGTGTGTGTGCAAGCACAACGAACCAACCACCAACACCAAAGAAGCAATAACATGCATTTGTTGTTGGCAGATTTTCTTCTTATCCAACCAAAAATTTTGCACCATTCATAATTTTTAGCACAGAATTTTGGCTGAAATCCAAAATAAAAAAATCAATGCATATCTTTTCTTTTTTTTTAAAGGAGTATGTGGTGACATTGCTAGTGAAATTATTGCTAGAGACAATTAGTTTTGACCTTTATTCAAAATTAAAAACAAGGCATATATAAAATAAATTCTCTAAACACATTAAAAAAAGAGACAATATCTAACTAAATGTGCATATAGTTACAAAAACTGCAAAAATATTGTTCAATCCTAACAATACTTTTTATTCAAAACTTTAATGCAAAAAAAAAGGTCTGTGATTGCTTAGAACATTACCAAAGAAATAGTAATTTAAAAAAAAAAACTAAATAAACATAATAAATATAAATTATTTTAATTATTAACAAATATAATAAAATAATAAAAAAATACAACTCTGTGTGATATATTTAAAAAAACTAAACTATACAACCAAACAACATGTGTACGAATAACAGTAATATGTTGTATAATACTAATACTACTTACTCTACCTACAATAAAATTGTGTGCAATTAATAATCTTCAATAATTCATTTAATGGACATTGATGTTTTTGCTGTTGTTTTGGTTGCGTGACGTTACTATAACATAAATATAATATAAAAATCATATGTTAGATACTAAAGAAAATCGTGCAAAAGGAAAAATTCAATATATCGTTAAGAATAAAACATTAACGTGATGACACGTTCCTATGAGCCTGCACCGTCCATAGAAAAAGACGAAAGTCAACTGAAAACAAATGCAGACGATGATAATGATACCAGTTTCGAAATAGATGAACCAGAAGATGAAGAAACTATATTTGTGGTTAAAGGACATAATGTCTATACACCTACCAATGAAACTAATGAAAAAATAACTTCACGTTTAAACAGTCCCTCAGGGACTAATGAAGATGAAGATCAAATTTCTCTACAAGAAGAAAAATCAAATGATATAACCCCCAGTACATCTGTTTGCATAAAGGATAGTCATCTTTCTGCAAAAACTAATAATCGCGATGAATCCAATGAAGATTCAGATTGTTCATACGATTCTTATACTTATTCTTCCACGCCCACAACCGCAGATGTGGCAGATGTCACAACTGTTACTTTATACCATGGCGGCAACAGTGGTTGTAGTAAAATTATTAGGCAACCCTGTAGGCGACTGCCACCTTCAGCTAATGTTCTAGTTATAGCAGTACAAACGAGTCACATGAATGATATTGGCTCGGTAGCAGAAGATACTTGTTCAGGTTCTTTAGAAACAACAACGACTGATCTCGAAACGGAAAATGCACCCTCTATAAGTCCCTATAACAATAGACGTCTTCAGTCAGTTACGAATTCGTCTAATCTAATGTACAATTCCACAATACATTCCATACCCTCAGTACTGTTAACTCATCCCACTGCTGCTTTCCAAGAAACCGACTCAAATGCTATCGAAATACCTCCTACGCGTACTAATCGCCATCAGCGTACTATGTCTTCAACATCACAACGTTCAATAGCCTCACAGCATTCAGTACATACCGCTAATACAACATTGTCCATAACTCAGCCGAAAAGTCGAATCTGGACGTGTTTAAGGTGGATTTGTTTAAGATTTAAGGTGAATATTATGGAGTTTTCTTTTATTTTATTCATTTTTTGAGTTTGTAAAAGGGGTTTAAGTTTCCAAGATCCTTCCCAGCAAAAAAAATTTGAAGTTGTTAAAGAAGAAGGGATATTTTCATGATTTCTTTTGTACGTATTCTATTTAATGCGTTTTAAATACATGCCTAAATTCTAAAAAATTTGTCATCAGTGAAGGCATGAAAAATGCACCCAAATTCACTCATGTAACTCCACTATAGGAATTGTAATATTTTACTATAATTTGGTATTCTCTTAGGAGATTTAACGAAAACGTGCATTTCATACAATAAATATTAAAAATTACATTAATTTTTTTATTAGATTTTTGTTTTTGTAGGTACCTACCTACCTAGTAATATTAAGTCCATTTTAACATTAATAAGAGAAGGAAAAAACCAAGACTGTTTAACGGATTTTAAAACACAATGGGTATTTTTCCTCTGCATGAATTTAAATCCAATAAAAATCAGTTAGTTATGTTTTATCTTTTTTTATTGTTATCAATATCACACAAAAAATTATTTAAATATTGATAATTAAATCGAAATACCATTATTAATGCATTTTTAAATAAATATAGTGCACCAATGAAAATTCGCTTGAGAATCATCGAATATTCATTGGTTATAAGAACTCATTTAAATGGCGAACTATTTTTCCAAATACGAACACATGCATGCCAATGACACGCTAATGTTAAAATCATGCATGTTTCCCCTAAATATGAACCAGTTCATTATCAGTTCAACCCATGCATTTACTACTTTTTTTGCACGTCTTTTTTTGCTGGGTTTGTTTTGTACATTTTTAGATCATATCATTTTATTATGTATAATACATATAGTGTGTAAAATAATTCTGTGATTTCATCGTCATATGTACGTATAAGTATTAGGAATTTATAATTAATTGTTACTCATACGTCATGATGTAGATAAACAAATATCCATCGTATAAAAGATAAAAGATTGTTAACGATTTTATCTTCGATAAGCAACTGATTGTTGGAGGGTTAACGTTCGTCCTTGAATAGGTCTCCAGTTCTAAAGTGTGATGCTTCTGATGATTATTGAAATGGCTTCACCATTTTGTAGACAACATGTATTTAGAAATAATTGTATTTCTGTAGTTACGTACGAAGTTTAGAATTATAATTAAACTGTTAAGTTTGTTGTTTGAAATGTAAATTTTAAATCCAAGATTAAGGACTAAATTGAAAACAATATTGTTGGTTTTGACTTTCATATTAGTTTGTTTTGCTTGTTAGTGTTTATGTCAACAATAAAGGTGGTTAAACTTTTGACAAAAATGGTGTTGAATAGTGTTGAACAGTTGAAGCAAAATCATAAATCAATTTTTTATGAAAATAAACATTAAAACAACAAGTATTAACAACAAGCATTGTTCTGATTGCAAAAAGGTAAATTTTTGTTGTTAATGGCAATAGTACTGTAAATTGTATATTTCTCTAAATGCGAATTAGTACTTTCTTTCTAACAGCTAAAACTATACAATAATCTAGTTGGGGGGTCTACATCAATGTCCAGGCCGAAAAATTGTGGATCTTCAACTGGATGTGTCTATATTGACGTCGTTCAGATACGATAAAATCGTTAGGCCGATCCAGACAAACTGTAATGGGAAAGTGGTCTGATCCAAGAGAAACGACTGCTCTCCATGTTGTGCAGTTGAGCACAGCGCATATACTCATAGTCCGTGTGGGGGCATCATCATTCAATGAGCAGAAGGTGGACTCGTCAATATGTTTCGCCAGCAACGCGTCACTCTAGCCTTCTCCTAAGCAAAAGTGCCAGATCTGATGGTGGGTGTTGAAGTCATCTAGGGCCAAACGCATATCGCCGTCTAACAATCTCCTAAACGGGACAGAAGTCTGCTGGACAGCTGGCTACCGTTGGAGGCCATCACAGTTAATATGCAATATTGATATCATCCCAGGTATCGGGAGAGCAATAGAGGGTGTAAGCGGCGTCAGTAAATGTTGTTGCTGCTGATTTTATTGTTGTAACAGATTGGCTGTGACATGATGTTCTTCCCTGGGGAGACAACTTCCCGTTGATACAGCTGTTGCTAAGTTGACAATCTTTGGCCGATTGGGAATCGGATCGTTACGGAGCAGATATGTTGTTGTTGTAACAGATCGGCTGTGACAAGATGTTCTTCCCTGGGTAAAAAACTTCCGGTTGATACAGCTGTTGCTGAGTTGACAATCTTTGGCCGATTGGGAATCGAATCGTTCCGGAGCGAAGATCCAATTGTCATGGGAACGCTTCATGCTGATGTTGTTGCGATTGAAAGGGAGCATGGGGCGACAAAGTTTTCTGACAACTCTCGGTGGTGATTAAGTCCGGAGCAGTTCTTGGTAAACGATGCATAACCATGGTTTCTGATTTAAACATGTTGCTGGAGGAAATTGTATTATTTTTACAGGGGTTAAGAGCCCTTGGCCGAATAATTCGTGTCATTGTAATTGTAATTCTCTAGACTGTCTCTATAATATGTTACTTATCATTAGTGTCATAAGGTAACTAGAGTAATTGGACCAAATCAGTAATTTGTGTGATTTGGGATAATTGCAGGAATGTACTGTGTCGTGAGGGTTTAAAAGGCAGGCGGCGCATAGTAAATTTGGGGGAAAAGTAGTTATTTTCTACTGATCAAAGTCAAGAAATCATGGTATAAGTCTGCAATACTTTTAGGAAAAAGTAGTTCATTCCTGCTGATCATAGTCGAGAGAGAAACCAATCAATCAACAAGTTAAATAACTAACAAGCGAGTAAAGAGTATGAAAAGATGATAGGGCTGATGCTTCTTCATCACGATTATTTACCCTTAGATGTGTTTTGAGTTGAACATAATGTTTCCAACTTCAGAGAAAGTGAGACAATAGATCTTCGTCTCGTTTAAGATTTTCCCCAACTTCTGCGAGGTTTAACCTGACATTAGCTTTGACACATAACGAAGTAAATATAAATTTGGACAGATTGCATTGCTTTTAGTCACCTCCTACAGTTGGAACATATTGCCCGATTTGTTTTTTATGCTAAGTTTGTTCTATTAATACGAAAAACATTAGCAGGCAGTAAAATTGTTGATCATTTGTTGTTATCGGATGTCTTACTTTAACTATCATACATTTAAAAATATTTCGATGTCCATTCAGTTCTAGAATGAGAGGTATCGAACTGAATAAAGGATTACCAGAATACGAGTTCACTATCCTAGAAAGCTTTCTACTAGTGTAACGAGAACTATGAATGATGTATATCAATTGCAGGTCGACTGCTACGGGCCATCGCATTATAACTAAATAGCATAAATAGCTCTGCAACGTGTTAAATCGATTAGAAATGATTTGTTTTATTATTAAATATAATTCATAACTTAAAGATACACATTTTCTTAAATCTGTGGAATAATTCATTACTAATAAATACACTAACCAAACTAACTAATATTATGTACATTTTAAAGCCTTGATCTCTGATTATGCGAATAAACTACAATTACTTGCTCTATATTTAGAATACTTGTTGTACAGTAGTTGTGTGGAAAAAAATAGAATCTGGACTGACATGGTCGTTTACATTACTTAATCATTGTGATTATTTGATTGTACATTTGTATCATTTTATCACCAACAATGGAAATGAAATGATAAATGTGCTCACGAATTAAACTTGAATGAAAGCTTTATTGAACGAGTAAAATTATTTAAATTTAAATTTTTTTAAATTGTTGATTTCGATTTGTTGTAGACATTAAATTACCTAAAAATATGCACCCATAAACACTGACGTGTGAAATGAAAATGAGAGAAAAAAAATCAAAATAAGTTTATTGTCCAGCCGGAGCAAGCAAAGCAACTAAATAAGATTTATTTTTAAATTCACTGATGCATCGATAAACATTTTTTTTTATTTTCATATAATAATCCTGTGTATAAATAATGTTCTAGGTTCTGTTACGGCAAAATCTATAAAATAATTTAATAAACTGAGTAGGAAATACCATGTGTGTGTGTGTGTCTGACATAGAAATATTTATGTGTGGGAATACGGACAACTTAATATTAAAGATTTGCCGGCAAAGATATAACATGTGGTGCCTCAGGAATTATTTTATACGAGTGACTATTTTTTATGGGAAAATAACAAACTTATCTTTAAAATCTTTATTGTTTTCTCTTTTCAGAGTTCCGGCATAGGAGAACCAAGTGTACATCATGCTTTGGTTGTGATCTTTTTAGAATTTTTTGCCTGGGGTTTGCTAACAATGCCAGTTATATCGGTATAGTATATCTTTTAAAATGTCTATTGCTCGTTATTGCTAATCAATATAAATTCCTTTTTGTTTAAATAGGTGTTAAATCAAACGTTTCCCGAACACACATTCCTAATGAATGGTCTAGTCATGGGAATTAAGGGTATATTATCATTCCTAAGTGCACCCCTGATTGGTGCTCTGTCAGATATTTGGGGTCGCAAATTTTTCTTGTTAATAACAGTATTTTTCACATGTGCTCCCATACCTTTAATGACAATAAACACATGGTGGTTTTTCGCAATGATCTCAATAAGTGGCATATTTGCTGTCACATTTTCAGTTGTATTTGCTTATGTAGCAGATGTGACCACAGTGGAAGAACGATCACGTGCTTATGGTTTAGTATCGGCAACATTTGCCGCCAGTTTGGTAGGTTTTTTTTCGTTAATAATATTTATATAAAGTTATATTCTTAAATTGTTTATGTTTTATATAGGTAATCTCACCTGCTCTTGGTGCTGCTCTAATGGAAAAGTACAGTGATACATTAGTCGTTGCTCTAGCTACAGCAATCGCCGTATTGGATGTGTTCTTTATATTAGTAGCAGTCCCTGAAAGTTTACCAGATAAAGTGAGAGGCTCCTCTTGGGGTGCTCCCATTAATTGGGAGCAAGCAGATCCTTTTGCAGTAAGTGTTTTGTTATCTTTTATATCTTCTCAGCATTAAATTTCTTGTTTATGTTATATCAGGCTTTGCGCAAAGTTGGTACAGATCATACCATTTTGATGCAATGTGTTACCGTATTGCTGTCGTATCTACCAGAGGCTGGACAATATTCTTGTATATTTGTCTATTTAAAACTAAAAATGGGCTTTAATACCATGGAAGTGGCTATTTTCATTGCTGTAGTTGGTATACTAAGTATTAGTGTTCAAGTAACTCTTGGTTATTTAATGCGGTAAGTTAAATATTGTTTTAGAATTCTAGTTTTCTTCTAAACAATGTTCTTTTTTTTAATTTGGTGTTATAGGAGGGTTGGAGCTAAACGCACTATTGTTTTGGGTCTTATATTGGAAATGACACAACTATTTTGGTACGGTTTTGGCAGTCAAAAGTGGTATGTTGAATTTGATCAATTAAACTTTTGGAGGGAATTTTAACTTATGTTTTTTTTTTTTGTATAATTAAGGATGATGTGGGCTGCTGGAATATTGGCTGCTTTGGGTTCGATTACATATCCAGCTATTAGTGCATTTGTCTCCATACACTCAACGGCAGATAGTCAAGGTAAATAATGAATGCTTTTTAAATTATAAACAATTAACTTTTTAAATTATTAACAATTAACCTTTATTAAGAATTCGAGCAATGGGAGTAAAAAAAAAAACTAAATAATAGTTACCTAAATATAGCTTAAACTTCAAAAAGAGCTTGTTTTAACAAATTAATTTTAATAATTGTTTACTAAGTTTTACAACTATTTCAACTTTTCGTTAACCCAAAATGTATTGATTTTGCCCAATTTTAGTAAATACAAATTTTTGCTTAAACCCCAATTAGCACTTATTAAAAATAGATCTATTTATTTAACAATTATGTTAAAATTAGAGAACAATTAACAAGTTTTTAATTTTTTTACTATTTTTAAATAATACTTCCATTAATAAATTAACACGTGTATAAAAATAAGAAAAATTATTACTAAAAAGTGAAATTTTTTCAATTATTCTAAAGAAAAGACTAAAAAACTTGAGATATTATAGACATAGCTATATTGGGTTTAACGGTAGTTTAATCATTCATATTAATGTTCAAGCAATTTTAATTTGTAAATCTCTTGAAAGTTTTTTGGCATGATTTCAAATTCGATTTTTCAAATTGCAAGATTATCATTTTACTCACAAAAGGATCTTTTAGACCAAAGTGGAGGGAGGGCCTGTTTGGAACTGTTTGTGCATCTATTTCTATGATGCATTTTTGAACGTACTGCTCACATCAGGTGCAACTCTGTAATGCATTTCCGAACAGGTCCGGAAATTTAGCGCATTACCAAATTTTTCTCTACAAAACTAATAACTTCTGATAAAAAATTTTTAAAAATTTTTCTCGAATTTTTCACTCAAAATCGGACTTCCACCAAAAATCCATTTTTTATTAAATATTCGATTTTTCACTACAAATATGACTTCACCAAAAATCCGACTTAAAAATCATAGATTTTTGTACTAAAAAACGTTTTATCACTAAAAATCGGCTTTCACTAAAATACAAAATTAGATTTATCACCAAAAAATTTTTTTGTCACTAAAAATTCAATATAAATCCCACTTTTCACTAAAAAAATCGATTTTCACCAAAAATTCGAATTTCACTAAAAATACAAATTTTCACCAAAACTCTAAACATCTCTAAAAGCTCAAGACTTCACCGAAAATTCCACTTTTCACTAAAAAAAATCGATTTTCACAAAAAATTCGAATTTCACCAAAATTCAAAAAATCGCCAAAAACTCAAGACCCAAAAAGTAACATTCGAAATTAAAAAAAAATCTGATTTATTATTTAAAATCCTACATCATACTAAACATCCGATTTTCACAAAAAAATCTGAAATCTGAATGAATAAAATTAAAATAAAAAAAATATAATTTACCACTAAAAATTCGACTTTTCACAAAAATCCGACTTTTCACTAAAAATTCGACTTTTCACAAAAATCCGACTTTTCACTAAAAATTCGACTTTTCACTAAAAATTAGACTTTTCACTAAAAAATTTGATTTTCACCAAAAATTAGAGTTTCGCCAAAAATTTGTATTTCACCAAATTTAAAACTTCAACAAAAACTCAAGATTTTATCAAAAAATAAAATTCGAACTTTTCAAAAAAATCGATTTTTTATTTAAAATCCTATTCCGTACTAAAATATCAAATTTTCACTAAAAAAAGACTTTTCACTAAATCACTGAAAATCCGACTTTTCACCAAAAAATTTGATTTTCACCAAAAATTAGAATTTCACCAAAAATTTTAATTTCACTAAAAATTTGAATTTCACCAAAATTTAAAACTTCAGCAAAAACTCAAGATTTCACCAAAAATTAAAATTCGAACTTTTCAAAAAAAAATCGATTTTTTATTTAAAATCCTATTTCATACTAAAACATCATCAAAAAGAGAAATTTCACCAAAAATTTGATTTATCACTAAAAATTCTATTTGTCACTGAAAATCCGACTTTTCACTAAAAATCCGACTTTTCATTAAAAAATTTAATATTCATCAAAAATTTGAATTTCACAAAAAATTCTAATTTTCAACAAAATTTAAATCTTCAGAAAAAACTCAAGATTTTATCAAAAATTAAAATTCGAATTTTTATTTAAAATCCTATTCCGTACTAAAATATCCAATTTTCACAAAAAACTAAACATTTGCTTTATCATTAAAAATTCTATTTGTCACTGAAAATTCGACTTTTCATTAAAAATCCTACTTTTCACTAAAAAATTTGATTTTCACCAAAAATTAGAATTTCACTAAAAATTTGAATTTCACCGAAAATTCAAATTTTCACCAAAATTTAAAACTTTAGCAAAAACACAAGATTTTACCAAAAATTAAAATTCAAACTTTTCAAAAAATCGATTTTTTTAAATCCTATTTCGTACTAAAACATAAAAGTTTTACAAAAAAACGACATTTCGCCAAAAATTTGATTTAACACTAAAAATTCTATTTGACACTGAAAATCCGACTTTTCACTAAATTTCCGATTTTTCACTAAAAAATTAGATTGGCACCAAAAATTCGATTTTCACTAAAAATTCAAATTTCGCCAAAAATTTAAATTTTCACGAAAATATTTATGTCTGAAAATCTTTGACTTTCGCCAAATATCGAAAAAAAAAACATTTACGTATTAATAATTAAAAAAAATCTATAATATTTTCTTCACAGGTGCCGTTCAAGGTATGGTCACTGGCATGCGTGGACTATGTAATGGCTTAGGACCGGCTATGTTTGGTGTTATATTTTATTTATTCAACGTTGATTTGAATAATGAAAAATCACTACAAGAGAATGTCGACAATGATAACTGGTTTCAATTTCCGGGACCGCCATTTGTCTTCGGTGGTTTTATGGTCATACTTGCCATACTCGTAGCACTGTTTATACCAGAGGTACATGGTGATATGAATTTTATACGTACTCCCAATGAGAAAAAACGTAAGTTAATGGAAATTAAATAAATAATATAAATATTAATTGAATTTATTTTTTTTTTTCTACCCGGCAAAGGGGCTTCAGTAGATGTACAATATGAAGTGGAAGGTGGTATAAAACCAACAAGCCCTTTAATGCGTTCAGATTCATTGGCGCAGCTGTAGTATTGTTACCTAATAATAAGAAAATTATTGTGTTAAATTGTAAGCTTAAACAAAAACAAAAAAACAAAGAAAACAAACCAACCAACACACACACAAAAGAGAAAATAACTAGAATGCTTTTTATATAAAAAAAAATCAAATAATGTTTTAACATGAAAAAAAATATGGTTCTTATTATCAACAATATCTTTATTATTTTCAATCCTGCCATTTATAGTTACAATAATTCTTATTTATAAATTACTGCATTTGCTAAAAGAGGTATATAACTCAAAAAGAGGTTTTATTTTTCGTTTGGCTAAATAGTTATCTAATTAAATATTTAAAAAAATTCTTAAAATCATAGTAAAGTTATATTATGGGAAATCGTTTTTGCGTTATATTCCTTGTTTTGGCAAATGAAGGCTATGAGAATGCGCAAAAGTGAAAGGCAATAATATATTTTTGATTAAAAGACTCTTTTTTTTAATGACAAAATTTAATTTAACTGATTTATTTATTATTATTTATTTAAATGTTTAATTTAACAATTTATATTTGAAGCTTTTGTTTGTTTTTTTTTGTAATGAAAGTAATACATACATAATAATTTGAATTTACAAACTTCTTTGTTGTGGTTATCATTCATTACATCTTAACAGCTTTGCTGCTTCAGATTTTAAACTGCTGTGTCCTTAAAAAAAAGCTTTGCATATAGAAACTAACATATCGTTATCTAAAATTGAAAAGTCTTGCAACTAATAATTCAATATTTTTACAGAAACAAGTAAAGTAATTGTTCGGCTGTGCCGAATCTTTTAAACAATTCTTTAAATGTTTATTTTTGGAGCAACATATTTCTTGGGTTCATTTTTTTCTTTACATATTTTGCTTAATTATTGAAATGTTAGTTGTTCTTTTTTTGTGTGTTTTAGATAGAGAGATATTACTGTTAGGTTAACAGTTTATTTAGAAAACTTTCAAACCCAGTTTTTGTCTATTAAGTCCTTTTATACTTTAATTTTGTGTGATTTTCCAATATATTTACATTTCACAAATCTTTATAAATAATTGCCACAATCGGAATCAGCCTATTAGATTTTAGTTTACAATATGTAACCAATACATACATATATTCTAATATCGATTTTATTTTGCTGTACAGCTTTAAAGAAAAGAACAGTTTCTGGCTTTTGAAAACCAAATACTTTGTAATAAGAAAGTGTTTCTTTATGATACTTTTTAACATATAAATCTAAACATCGATTTGGTTTAAATTTAAGACTTTCAAATATTTATATTTTTTTAAATTTGTAAAAAGAACTACTTTAATATAATGATGCAACATCACATACATACAAAATACTTGCCATTTGTTTATTTAAAACAAAATTGAGTCTTGTTTTATTTCCTTCTCTTTTTCTCCCCTACTTTCTTTTAATCTTTCATTTATTTATAACTAAATGTTACTAATACATACATACATATGTTATTTTCCTAAAAAAAAAAAATATAATAATTTAGACAATAAGCTAATTTGTAATTGTACATACATTTGATATATAATGAGCGAATTAACAATCTGGGCGAATAAAGTTGTTCAGAGAATCTTAAACCATGTAAAATGTAGAAATTGAATGCTTATAATTCTTGTTTCTTTATAAATTTATTAGTTTGTAAACATACACACACCCACACAAACACAAATTACACATATATAAATATATAAAATTATATAATTAATTAATAAACTAGTTATAGCAACTGTTATGAACTGTTAAAGAAAACAACAAAACAAAAGTAAAGAAGAAACAAAATATCCAATTATTTTTATCAAAACGCATAATCTTCGAAAATTGTGTCCAAAACGGTTGGCATTCACATACTACATACATACATATGTAAGAATGTAAGTTTATCAAACTGTGATGATATGTTAGAAATGGTAACTAATAATGAATGGTGATGATGATTTTTTTTTGTTTTTTGGTTTGTTCTTATTTTATTTATTACGGAATGATTATCAAGATATATATATATCTAACTACATATATTTTTGTGAATTGTTTTTGTATTAATTCGAATGATAATAAATGTGTAAATAATCTTATAGTCTGTCAATCGTTTGGATGTCAATTATCAAATAATATACATACCTTTCTTTATATACATACATACAAACATACAAATGATAAGTTTTTTAAAAAAAAAATAATATGTAACAATATGTAGAGTATTTTGTATTTGTTTTGTTTTTGTCAAAACTAAGCTCATCTAACTAATAACAAATCCAATTCGTAGTCCTTCAGTAATATTTATTTGTATTTGTCTTATGTTGGTGCTAAATCAATTATTTATTAATTACTTTAATTTATAATACTTGGACAAGTTTTTAATTGATTACGGGTATATGCTTATAAGCCGATTTGATATCAATAATATCTTTCAAGATTTGGTTAGCAATTTTTATTTAATTAGAAGATCCCTGTTTACATTCCAACATACGTTGGCTATCTATAATTCTGTATACATTTCTCTATAAATAAATTTAAGTTATGAAATTCTAAAAAATATTATTTGTTAAAAGAAATTTAATTTATAAAATTACATTAAAAACAAAATACACATAAAATTTCCTGTTTTCGCAAAAAAAAAAAAATGATTTTATTTTTTTTTATTTAGCATAACATTTTTAGTGTAAAACAGGCATGGAAAATTGCAATTTTAAAATACTGCTGACTTATAACAAAAAGAGTACATCTTTTTAGGTTATAAAACACTAAACTAATTTTCCGTTAGACTATAGAACATACTTTAGACTAGACTGTAGACTAGACTATAGACCAGACCTTAAACTAGACTATTGATTAGACTATAGACTAGACCTTAAACTAGACTATAGATTAGACTATAGACTAGACTAGACTATAGACTAGACTATAGACTAGACTATAGACTAGACTAAGACTAGACTATAGACTAGACTATAGACTAGACTATAGACTAGACTATAGACTAGACTATAGACTAGACTATAGACTAGACTATAGACTAGACTATAGACTAGACTATAGACTAGACTATAGACTAGACTATAGACTAGACTATAGACTAGACTATAGACTAGACTATAGACTAGACTATAGACTAGACTATAGACTAGACTATAGACTAGACTATAGACTAGACTATAGACTAGACTATAGACTAGACTATAGACTAGACTATAGACTAGACTATAGACTAGACTATAGACTAGACTATAGACTAGACTATAGACTAGACTATAGATTAGACTATAGACTAGACTATAGACTAGACTATAGACTAGACTATAGACTAGACTATAGACTAGACTATAGACTAGACTATAGACTAGACTATAGACTAGACTATAGACTAGACTATAGACTAGACTATAGACTAGACTATAGACTAGACTATAGACTAGACTATAGACTAGACTATAGACTAGACTATAGACTAGACTATAGACTAGACTATAGACTAGACTATAGACTAGACTATAGACTAGACTATAGACTAGACTATAGACTAGACTATAGACTAGACTATAGACTAGACTATAGACTAGACTATAGACTAGACTATAGACTAGACTATAGACTAGACTATAGACTAGACTATAGACTAGACTATAGACTAGACTATAGACTAGACTATAGACTAGACTATAGACTAGACTATAGACTAGACTATAGACTAGACTATAGACTAGACTATAGACTAGACTATAGAATAGACTATAGACTAGACTATAGACTAGACTATAGACTAGACTATAGACTAGACTATAGACTAGACTATAGACTAGACTATAGACTAGACTATAGAATAGACTATAGACTAAACTATAGACTAGACTATAGACTAGACTATAGACTAGACTATAGACTAGACTATAGACTAGACTATAGACTAGACTAGACTATAGACTAGATTATAGACTAGACTATAGACTAGACCTTAAACTAGACTATAGATTAGACTAAACTGTAGACTAATGGTCTATTCACTAATATGCGAACTATTTATCAAAAGTTTGAAAAAGTACCGAAAATGTCGTTGGGTAAGCCGCGTTATTTTTCGATATCAAAAAGTACTGAAAATAATATTAAAGTACTGAATTTTCCATGTCTGGTATAAAATATATAAAAGATCTAGTTTTTGTTAAACGATTAGTGAAATTCTTAAATTGTCATTATCGCGTTTTACAAACTGAAGTTTATATCTCATGACCAAAAATCTATTATTAACATAGGAGTTTTAAAAAATTAACGAATAAAATTTTGTTAATTTACTCGCTTGGCTTAACCTATTTATCATCTCGTAACTATTAATTAAAATAAAACTTCTGTATAACTTATCATAGTTGGCAGTCTAATCTCAAACAGTAGTTAGTTGTTTATCAGTTACGAGTTGGTTCTTTTTAAATTGTTATAGATTTATTTCCTTTAATTGCTTTTACTTTATTTTAAATAGGTTTTGTATGATCTATTGAAGCTAATGTTAATCTGCAGTAGCATGTATTTTAGTTAATAAAATGCATAAATTTTTGTATAAACACAACAATAATTTTAAGTATAACTTTACACAATAAAATTATAATTGCTAAGAAATTAAATAAAATAAAAAAAGTTTAATTTCGTTTAAAGCTTTTTTTGCATTTTTTCGTTTTTTAGTAACTGGCGTCTGTGTTGCAGATCGAAAGTAATTAGATTTGGTGTACTTTTTGATGATGAAATATCCGCTATTTGCTAAAATATCATCCTTGATAACTTTCAGATGACATAACAAAATTTAAAATATAAAACTAACTGTTATAACCGGATGCACTATTACATCATGGTTATGACGATGTTAAGTGGTTATAACATTCCGTACCTATATGGCAGAAAACGAGAATTTTTTTCAAACTTGTTTAAACGAATTACGAATTAAGTAATTCAAGTTGCCATGAGAACATGGTATAAGACATCTTGTAAACCTGATGTGATAGAGAATTTCTGAGGTCAGATTCGAAATAAACGAAATGAAGAATACATACAATGGGAAAAAATGTTTTGAAGATTTGAGAGTAAGTATAGTGAAGAGTAGAAGAAGAAAGTAAGAGGGATTATATATATGTCCTCATGACATTTGAAATATTGGAAAATAAAGCAATTAATAAATTCCAAATCGAAAATGGCCAAATGTTGACAGGTGATATGTAGGAGACATCAAATGTTCATCTGAACCCCAATTTTTTAGTTTTGGATCATTGCAGATTTGTTCTCATAATGAGATACGGAAACTAAAAGGACAATATCTTTGATTGCATAAAATACCCATGGAACAGCTTTTTAAGGGATCAAGTAATGCTCCGGAAGACTTCTATGACTCCCAGATGTTCTTTTGCTATAAAAAGCATAGATACACTGTGAATTATTATGTTAAAAATTAATTTAAAAACTGTTTATGAAGAAATTTCTTTAGTTTTTGCCAATTCAAATCTAGTATGAATTTCTTTCTGTGTATTTAAATGATATTTCACGAAAATAAAAACAAATTTGGGAAATTTTCTTATTATTAAAAAAACAAATTTTAAATATTTTCAACGTGGAGAATAGACGTTTCCACATAAATATAACATCAGTTGCTTTAGTTTCGGCCACTAGTGTAGATACGTTCATTTAATGAACTTCATTATTTTAAAGTTAATTAAAAATCTGTAACGATTAGATCAAATCTATAAAGCCAAATTTTAAATTTATGTAAGTGAATTTATCTGTTAGCAGTATTACTTTTTAATTTTATATTTAATATAACGGTTCTAATAATTGACCGTTTATCGTTTTTTACATTTAAAAATCTTTTCAGAAAATTTGTATTTTAATATGTTCATAACTACATTTTTATAAATAAAACGGTGGCATCACTAAAAACACAATGAACCAGCAGTGATGGGATTTGTGGTACAATTAGTTCAGGGTAATTTATTTATGTACCAGAATTCCATCACTGCTTTGTTTTGTTTATTTGTATCAGACTTGCCATATTTATGACAGTATACATATATAGAGCTTGAAAGGCTATTGAAAATTAATTATATATTTTCTTTCTATAATCTGTGAGATTCCAAGTAATATTCTTAAGGAATGTAAACATATATAGGATTTTGCTGCCAAAATGTGAACAAAAATTAATTAAAAAAAATTATAAGCAAAAATCTTCTGGCAACCTTTGTTTAGTCTCAATTTTGTTTCGTGTTTTTTTTTGTGTTCAATTGTATTCAGTTCATTTTGTTCATTCGTTGGAAAAGGTTGTCAACTCGGTTAAACGCTGCGGTTGGATGCAGGTCTTTCTGCATTTGAAGTGTGTATGTGTTGTGTGTGTGTTGGTTTCTCCAGGAAAAAGCAAAAAATAACATAAATTTCTATAAGATTTTTGGAAAAAAGTGATTAATTTATGAAATTGATTAATTAAAAAGCAAAGAAAGAAAAATTAAAAGAGAATTTCAACATTGTAATAGAATATATAGTGGATATAATTTCCATAGAGAAATATAAATAAATGGTGTGTATACAAAATGTGTGTGTATATTTTACAAAAAAAGTTAATTTAATAAATCCTGTTTGTAGTAAAAGTAAACTTAAAAATCATGAATTAATGCTTGATCTAGTTATAACCAAAAAGAAAAACGAATAAATTAAGTACACATTCATTCACTATTAATAAATTGACGAGACATAAAAAAACATAAAATTGTCGAGATCGCCCTAACTTAAAAATTATGCTGTGTTTTGTAAAATTTCAGAATTTTTTTTGTGTCAGTGATGTTTTTTTGTGATTTTTAAACCTCCTACTGCGCACATCTCTGAGATTTGCTCTCAAATTCTATTAAATTTATTTTCCAACTTGTTTTCTTTGTTTAGGTTTTTTGTTGTTGTATGTGAAAAAGAGAGATAATTGGTAGTTTTTTTACAGTGTTTTTTTTCTTCTTGTATATATTAAGAGTTCAGAATTTTATGTACATACATAAATATATACATAACTACTTAGAAAGCCATATAAAATAGAAACATTGTCCACACATCATATGTACATACATAAACACATAAACATAAGAATATGTAAACATTGCTGAGTGTGTAATGAATACTTAATAAATAAATACATAAATCTGTGCTCATAAATGATAACCGCATAAGTTCTGTTAAAGAACGAATTGGGTTATTTGTGCCACCATATTCTTAACAAAATCTAGGTGGAAAATCCCATTTTTATATAAAATATATTATTTTTAATATGCAACGATAAAACTTTGTTTTATTCCTATTGTTGTGTTTGTCTTAAATCAATGTCACCGGCTCAGCTGATTGCTATTTTAATATTTTGCTTTATTTTTGCTGGGAACCTATTATGTATATAGAAGGTGTATTCTACTCTCCACTAGTTTAAAAGTTATTGGCCTACAAAATTACATTTTTCATCATTTTTCTTCATATACAGCGGCAACCGCAAATATTTTGATATATAAAAATTTCTTTTGGAAATAATTTAATATAGGAGAAAGCTTGAAGATCGCCCAAATATGAATCGGAAAAGACATATCGCCCATTTACTACAAGACAGTTATAACTCCATTATTTCGTTTTAAGAAAAGTTTCTTTGAATGTTTTATGCTATTTTATTATTTCTTAAGTACCTACCTATAGGTATTAAATTATGTGATTTAAAAATAAATTTTACTATGATGGAAGAGATTTAATGCAAATTTCGAGTTATGCCAGTCTTGTAATAAATGAACGACATGTAAACTGGCTTAAATCAAGGCCACCAATTTTGTTTTTAAAACACTAAAACACTCTACTACATGGAATAATGAAACAGTGGATAGAACTACAAATTGGCGAAACTTATAATGTAAAGACTGCAAACACTCTGTAAACATTGATTGGAATAGTTTAAGAAATTACGTCCAGAAGTTTTTGAATTATCGGATGATAATTGACTTTAAAAGATGATATCATCGGCAAAAGAAAAAAACACATCTAAAGGAGGTTTAATCAAAACCGGTTGTGGCCTAGGTGTATATATTCATGATAAAATATGATTAAAAACAGCTCACCAATACAAAATCGGTTAACAATTATAAAATTTTAATTTTTGTACGAGCTAACCAAAGAATATATTGTAATGATCTAATGAAATAAAGACCATGATTTAATCTCTGTAAATAGATCTTATAGAGCCTATAAGGAATGAAATCTACTTATTTAGATTTCCTAATCCTTCATTCTGTTTAGAAAGTTTTAAGAATTAATTTTCTAAATTAAATTATAAACAATGTTATTAAAGAATTTATAACACTTTAAAAGACAATTGAATGCAATAAAGGAGTTAACTCTTTCGAGGCTTTGCATACTGTTTTGTACTTTTAAAAAATTATATTTTTTCTAAATGAAAGACTTCAAGTTAGGTCGTTATTTCATGTAACTATAGAAAAAGTTTTTTTCTAATTGATTTAGTAGATTTCTTGTTAAGCCAGTGTTGCCAGTTAAACTGAAGGTTTTTTCAAGCAGAGTTGGAGAACTTAACTTAATTGCAGAAATATTACAAGATTTATCAAAACAAAGTATATGTTGGATATCAATATAAAATGTAATTAGTAAACAAGTTCATTTATAAAAAACATAAGTGAATGGATATTGTATAAAAGAAACTCTCTGAGCAAATTCTACTAAAATCAAAAGTTACCACATAAAAGTCAATGAGTGTGGAAAAAGAAAAAAATAAACTAGTTAGTTTAGTTTTAATTTTATTCTATCTGACTAATGCAAAAAATTTACACTGAATGAACATTTAATTTATTACTTAGAAAGTGAAAACAACTTTTTTAAACTGGCCATTGTTTATATGAAAAAAAAAATATTATTTTCTTTTAGTTTTAATGTGTTGTTTCTAGATAACGTGTGAGTAGTTTGAGTTAAAATTTTACTTGTATTTTGTTTTTGTTACAATAACAAAATACAAGTAAAATTTGTGCTCAAACTACTCGCTCGTTATCTAGAAACAACACATAAGAAATAAAATATGCACTATACTCATTTCATTTGTATTCTAAATTAGAAAAGGTTGGATATTATTGTTTATTGCAAACAAAATAGAACAATATAGTCGGTAAGACAGACTAGCCTCATAGACAATAGATCAATTAAGTATAATTTCATTTATATCGTATTTCTTCTTAATATAAACTTTTCAATTGTTCACAAATTACCTCATCGTACTTATCATTAGAAATTATTAATATCGATCCTTATCATTTTTAACACTTTAGTTGTGATAATTTAATTTCTTTAGATAACTTAAAAACCCATATCCCTCAAAAAATATACATTTTATCACATAATAGGAAACAATATTTTTTTGTAAATACCATATGATTTAGAAATACATATGTACATATTTAGAAAAAACCTAGAGGTAAACATTTTCTCTAATATGAGGGTCTTTATCGCAAGCGTTTTACCTGCAGTAAATGTCTTGTCTTGGTAATCAAAATAAGATTATTGAATACATGGGAATTATTTTCTATTTAAATCGTCTGTGAGAATATACTATATAATTAACATTTTGAAGATTTTAGATGAGTTTTTAACAAGTCGACTTTAAATGAATTTTTGTAAACTTTATCCTAATTAACTCATTTCTTTGTGGGTTAGATACTATGGAATGTAGGACGGTATTAGCCGGATATGAACAGACAAAATGCCAGATATTGAATTTCTACATATTGTCTACAAGAAAAAAAACCTATCTATAAGTTGTGTTTATACAACATCTCACTTGGCCCTAGAATACAAAACATTCCACAGTAGCACTGTAGGGGCTACCAGGTCATCAATAGTTGCCTGGCAATGCTATTGCGGACTCTTGTAAAAATGGGCTTATCGATTCGAGATAAACTCATCGAAGTTGGGCAACACTGATAAATTGAAGATCATGAGACCGTTGTACGACTCACGAAGATCACAAACTCTACTTCAATTTTCTAGAGCAAATCTATGAAATTAACTACAGTGGTGACTGGCCACTGTAGAAATTATCTAGATGAAGAGGAAGAAGAGAGTATCACTCACTTTCTCTGTCAGTGCATTGCTATAGCTGAGCACAGATGAAATCTTCTAGGAGCAAATCTCCTACACGATCTAACGGATCTATCTGAGACTGATATCCGAAAGATAGACTCCTTTATTCGTGCGACAAACTCGTTTGGATAGGAACCCAGAATAATTAGGTCAAAGTGTACTAATACGCTGACCACTTTTCTCTTTCTAGGTATCACAAAGAGATCAACGTAATACACCCAAGTGATAACAGCACATGGACATTCTGATAACATAACCTAACATTTACTTTTATAGGTACTTGCTTGCATGACCGATTTCAAGGTTGACTTTTTACTACTTTTGCACTCTCTGCAGTAAAGACAGCAAAGCACTTTCGAGTCTGATTTGCCAGAAATTAGAATTGCAATTGTCTAAGGCGATCAGTGCTCAATCGAATCAGTGATATTTGTTTACTTTCTATGCCTGTATTTCGTTCGATACAGCTGTTAATATTAAACTACTATTACTATTTACAAACAAATATGACTCAGGTCGTTCCGGATTAATGATTACTTTCTTGTGGGTATATGGAGACACATTTATCCTGTGTCAACATATGCAAACATATATCTAAATCAAGTTAATTTCGAAAGCATGCCAAGCAATTATGGAAACCTAGATGCTTAAAATATATAACGTTTAATATGTTGTTGTTCAGGTTGTTGCCGATCTGATTCGGATTGTTCTAAATAATAATGCCATCTTTTTTGAATATTAATATCTATTTTAAAGTAGTATCAAGCATTTTTCCAGACCTGTACATTTTTTTGAACTTTAATTTTATACAAAAAGGCATTTGAAATAATTAGGGTCACACAGTAGCCACTATATAAAAATAATTCCATAGAATGTCTAGAGATTTTAAACAATTATCATTCCATATAAATGTATTAGATTGGGATTAATTTATATAATTACAATTTATAATTTAACCACAAAGTTTAAAAATCACAGCATTAAGAAATGAAAACTATTCAACATACATTTTTTGGGGTTCACTACACTTCACAGCATCCTGTAAAGGGTCAGTGAACATTCTCTATTTTGCAAAGGAATTCTAACTAAAGCGCATGTGTATTTTTATGTTATTTATTTTCAATTTTTTTATAATTCAACATTTTAGTACTTTTCCTTTGGTCAGATATGAGTTTACACGTTTAATATGCGTTAATTGTTAAAATAAAAAGTTGTTTAAAATTGTTTTAATTATTAAAGAATTATATTTAATTCATAGTAAACAACTTGAAAAATATACATTTGTTATGGTGCAAATATTGAAAAATTAAATAATTCGCAGTTGGAAATTGTTGTTTAAAATTGTGTGTATAATATAAACAAAGTGAAAAAATTAAATACAACTTTTTTATATTTTGTTGCTGTTTATAACAATAATACGGTATTCCACTTAAATAATTA